TTTAATATGTTCATTTTACGTAATTTAGTATTAAGACATTGCTTGAAACCCTTTATTTCATGAATAATGTTATTATTACAAGAGATCTTTTGTGTTCATCTTCTTTGCTTATATCAGTTATTTGCCTTATTGAACTTGGCCTGTCTGCAGTTCCTTCTTTGCAATTTGTCACAACCCAACCAGAATTCCCATTAATGTGTGCCTCCTCCTAAGACAAATGAGCTACGTTTCATACATGATGTGACCAGTTGGTGGCACCAATGTATTTCAGCCAAAGTACCAATGCTAAGATAAGTCTATGCTTGATAAATGCTTAGCAATACCAAGAGAAAATTGTATATGTGTGGTTCATGAGCATAATTTAGCAATTAACATAAGCACTCACTTGGTGCTCTTTTCAACTAAAGTCTATTTTTTGTGATGCCTAATTTACAAGTTAATACGTACACTGTTTTTTTTACAGTAAGAAAAAATTTAAATTGAGTGCAAATCAACTTGGATTATTCTGTTCCATCAACTTTCTTTTTAAGTGCATCAATTCTCAAAAATGGCTATGGGGTTAGTGAGAAAATCTTCAAGTTTGATACTAATAAGCAAATGTACAGCTGCATTCTCACCAACATACACCCACTGGAAGGTAAATTTTCTTATTATTATTACTTTCTTTAATTGACTCCTTTACTTTACTGTTGCAACTTATGACCTTATGAGAGTTTAGGACTTCCTAGTCCACAGCCCCGCTGATGTTCAATATCTAATTCTAAAATATTTTAGGTCCAAGATACTCATGTTGCCACTTTTGTAATCTGCTTTAAAAGAAGGTGAATGCTGAACCATTTATGCAGCAATCCATAAATATTAAACTGAGCTCTGAATGCTGTACCTAGATATATGTATCCTGAGCTCTGTACGCTGTACCTTGGTATATGTACTCTGAGCTCTGTATGCTGTTCCTAGATATATGTACCCTGAGCTCTGTATGCTGTACCTTGGTATATGTACCGTGAGCTCTGTACACTGTAACTAGATATATGTACCCTGAGCTCTGTATGCTGTACCTAGATATATGTTCCCTGAGCTCTGTATGCTGTACCTAGATATATGTACCCTGAGTTCTGTATGCTGTACCTAGATATATGTACCCTGAGTTCTGTATGCTGTACATACCTAGATATATGTACCCTGAGCTCTGTATGCTGTACATGCCTAGATATATGTACCCTGAGCTCTGTATGCTGTACCTAGATATATGTTCCGTGAGCTCTGGACGCTGTACCTAGATATATGTACCCTGAGCTCTACACTGTACCTAGATGTAAATACCCTGAGCTCTGGACGCTGTATTCTGAATAGGTTGTAGTTGATGGCTTCATTATGTATAGGTATTTGTACTGTTCTGAAGCTGGTGTAAAATAGGTGCAGATGGTAGTTGCCAATTTCACTCAAATGGATAAAAAATTTATTTGATACAGATACTCACTGCTACTCATGTGTGGATCATGCCTGTTCACCAATAACTGTATTTAAATTATAATTAGCTTAAAATGAAAGACAACAGATGGTAGTTGCCAATTTCACTCAAATGGATAAAAAAATTATTTGATACAGATACTCACTGCTACTCATGTATGGATCATGCCTGTTCACCAATAACTGTATTTAAATTATAATTAGCTTAAAATGAAAGACAAAGAATTCACGATGAGTTGAGTAGTGATGCAATTTAATGAAAGCATCAGTTTGAATAACAATATTTTTCTTTAAAAAAATGTGGCTTTAAAAAAATATTTTTATAGTTTTCACTTAGAAAACTAAATTATAAGAATGTAAACAACTTTCATCTTTTATGAGGACATTAACCTCAGCTCTGAAATATAAATAACAACAATCTAACCATTCATAAACATCATAGATAAATCAAATCAAGTGAACCTGCTTGAAGCCTGATTTTTTTCATGAATGAATGAAATTGCATTCTTCCTAATGAGGTTAATAGTCAAACGATGATAATAAGTGCTTGTGATTATAATGCAACATCCAAATAAATGGGATGATAAATATTGTAATTACTTTGGCAGTAATATTATATTTATATATTTATATGAATTTTAGTAATTGCTAGATGTAAAAATTTATTATGTGGAATACACTGGCATTATTATGAAAAGAATTGTAGAAGTTTTGGTAAATAATTGCTTAACATCTGAACTGACAATGCCATCACATGAAGAAAACAAAATTTTAATTAGTTTACTTTCTAGCGCATTTTCTCATTTATGGAAAAAATGCACTATTGTGCTCGCCATGACCGTCCGTCCGTCTGTCTGTCTGTCTGTCCGTGACCTCAAGTTTTTGTCAATAAGAAAATGCGCTCTCTGTCACTCACTGCAGTAAGTACTGAGTTATATTTTTTAATATAAACTCCTTCAGCTGGAATTAGAGGCATGAAAACTTCATGTTAGACCTTTGCCTTGTTCAGCCATGCAGCTCATGCTCATGATGCCTCAACATGTAGTCTGCACGTATCCCAGAAAACCAAAGAAGTTTAGCCAGAAAGGGAAATATTTCATAAGATTCCAGGAGCCAAATTAAAAAATATAAATACCGTTTGATGAAGGAACTAGAGTAGGTATATATATTTGTTATGAATATTGTTCATTTGATTATTCTTTATTGTCACTTATCAATTCATCTAGGTTATTGGCAACCTCCTCTCTCTCTCACTCTCCACATGCTTTAAAAATATAACTCGGTACTCACTGCAGTGAGTGACAGAGAACGCACTTTCTCATCAACAAAAATGTGAAGTCACTGACAGACAGACAAACGGACATGGCAAGCACAATAGTGCTTTTTTTCCATAAATGAGAAAATGCCTTAAAAATAACGTTTTGAATTCTCAATCACAGCCATATTTTATTCCTCTGACAGACCCAAAATTACTTACAATGTACTCCCTGCCTTTACTCTCACTCTCCCTCCTAATCCAGAATAACTTCCATCGTACATTTCCACATTTCATTTTGTTTTTTTGCACCTCATATTCTATTAACAGGTGCCACACAGTTCATACATCACACCTCCAGCACACACAAGGCACTCATCTTTCATCTCATTCTATCTGTACATGCACCATCAACTTCTCTGCTGTCACAAGACAGTAGGTCTTGTCTCTGCATTCATACTTTAGCATAACTGTAACTATCAGTCCAGAGTAGATAGCTCTGTTGTAGTACTTATTAGTGGGGTAAATACAAAGGCATGATATGATGTAGCTGTGGCTGAGATTGATTTTAAAATTTTGGGTTGCTCCTCTGGTACCTACCTCAGATTTGACAATTTTAGAATTGCTAAATGCTTTGAAATGGAAACCTTATGCTTACTGTTCATACCAACCTATAATTGTTAGCGAGTTTTTGATAATACTCATTAAGAAATTTTTATTGCTAATGAGCTTTTGATAATACTAGTCTCAATAATAATTGAGTTTTATTGTTCCTTTGCATTTTTTTCTGAATTTGGGATTTAATTATGTCAACATAAATTTTGTCTCTATGTTCTAAATACATGTCTTCTATTTTTTGTGCAGCTGTTTATGGAGCCAGTCTTTATTTTTGGCAGGAGTAACCAATGGAATGAACCATCATGATGTGACTGGCTGATTGCCAGCCATTCTTGAGCTAGTACCTAAAATGCAGCATCTTTTTGTCTCATGGTTAATTTACTTTCATAAATTATTAGTATAGGAGTAAATGTAGGTAGGATGCAGTTACGGGTGCATTTTAGGCCAGCCTAGGCTTGAAGATCTGGAATTGGAATTAGATCACAAAATGTTAATAATTTTATCCTTTATCAGTTGCTATATTGTCTATCACAATATTGTTTAAATATTGTGTTTTGTGGGTTTTTATTCAGATTTCACTCCAAGTAAGGTTAAAAAATAATTCAATGATTGTAAAAATACATTAGATAGTTTATTGATAAAATGTATAAAATGTTTCCTCTGGTTCCATCCAGGAGGTTGGTCCAGAAGATTATGCAGTTACACTACTTAAGAGAAGTTCTAAGAGCAAATTTATGCCAGATGCCCTAGTGTTCCCTGGTGAGTATATATGCTGCTGGCTTCTGCAATTTTTTATCTATTATATTTTCCTGTTATTGTCCTATCACTAAGCTAATAATCATATGTTGCAATCTAATATTCCTGCTCAATTTAGAACCCAATTTCACCTTTTTGCATTGGGAGTTTTGAAGCATGTATCGAGAGCATGAGTAGCCCTGGATTGATCATAATGTGGCTGAAGTTTAACCTCTGTTGGGATTAAACTCCCCTATGGATTGGTGGCAAAATATATATGCCTGAAACTTAAAGCTATGCAAAAATGCAAGACAGAAAAAAAATGAACTTGTCCATGAATTTTATGGTTGATGAATACAAAAACATGAAAATGGAATTTTATTAACATGATAATAGAATGATTTTTAGAAAATAGTTACTTTTAAAATAATTGCACAAGATGCATGTCAAGAGTGGTGGTTCCTTTATATTCACACTTTCAAAAGCGCATTGATCATTTGAAACCGAATGAAAACAAAGATAACCTAAAGCAGCTAGCAGATTAAAAAGGGTCCGCAGGTCAGTGAGGATGCGCATCAGGTTTGTATGGAGGCATGGTTATCAGGAGACAAGAGCAAAAACTGCATTTTTGTAAGCAACAGTTGGTTAAGGTGACTATATAAATATGACAAAGACTTTTACTTGATATTGCCAATCTCAGTATTTGAGAAAGAGTAAAACTTCATGGCTGGAAATCCTGATTATGTAATTTTTTCATGCAGAATCATAAGTATGAATTTTATATTCTGGTACCAGATTTTGAGCATTTCATCTAAATATTATTGAAAATATATTTGTGAAAGTTGAATGGTATGTGAAAATTTTTATTATTCAATCGAGTGTTCATGTCCCCAGGAGGTGTTCATGACGTTGCAGACGCAGACCCAGCATGGCTTGAGCTCTTCAGCAAGTGTGAAGTGTCATCTCAGAAAATCAATCAATTATTCAGGTGATACTTTGAAACTATGAGAAGATTTAATTTTATTTTAAATTGCATGATCTGTTATATGTAGTGAGAACACTTTGTTCATAAGCCGTGACAACAATTTCTATTTGTTTAGTGTTGGCCATTAGCATAAGTAACAGTATACAGATTTATCCCTGGCTGTTGTTACTTTCAGCCATGGAATAGCAGCCAAAATATTTATGGTAATTTCTTCATAATGGATATAGCTTATTCTTGCATTTTTTTCTTGGCTATTTTATTATGTTTATACTTCAAGGTGAATATGCATAAATAGCAATTACTTACTTCCTAAGTGCCCAAGGTTTATGTCACAAGACATAAAATATTTTACCCTATCAGAGCAGCCTGTTGTTGTCTGAGCTTCACAATTCCTGCAATTTTGAAATCAAAACAGTCATGGAACTGTTTGATATCATAACTAACATGGAGTCATGATTAACATATTGAGAACAATATTGCATTATTATTATTGCAACCTATTGTTGTTTCTTAGACAGCCTGATGCTCTGCTAGCTTTTTAAAAACAATATTGTAATTATTATAAATTAAACAGGTCTGTTGTTGTTTCTTAGACAGCCTGATGCTCTGCGAGCTGGAACATACAGGAGTCTTGCCAAGCAAATGGAAATGTTGCCAAATCAAACAGAAGACGCGATGATGTTGCCCGAGTTCTCCTTGCGACTCACAGCTCTACGGGAAACTTTTGAAGAGACAGGATTGCTGCTCGCTCGGCCTGTCGTTGCCGGAGTGCCGAGTGATCCCATTGCTTTAACTGAGCACGGGGCATATCCTATCTCAATGAACAGCACATTATCCAACGAAGAGCTTATGAAAACACATACAAGATATGGGGCAGTTATGGGGGAGAACTTGAAGGGATGGCGGGCTGCAGTTAATGCTGAACCTGCAAAGGTGAATGATGTTATTTTAATTGAATTCTGGAATGCAATTTATGTCAAGGGAAAAACAGCAGGGATAAAAACAATGAAACAACTGGTTGCTTTTTAGTAGGCTGAAACATTTTATTAAATGTTTGTTATCAAAATTAAAAATTTTTACTATTCTATCATGTACCTATATGTTTTCATCCTTTTGAGAATGACAAAAATTTGTAATATCTATTTTTTTGAAATGAAGATGAACGTGAATCTTTGAAGTAGATAATTCAATAGAATATAATTGAGTAGGTTGCGAGTGTCAACTATGTTTACTGATGGCTTTTGTGAATCAAAACATACTTTCAGTGACCAAAGCTGTATGTTGAACATGTATTACATAGATATGATGTATTTTCCATACATAAATTCACTAAAATTCAACTTGTACCGTACTCCCGGAGTGGTATAAATAATGAATTTTTTACCTGTGAGGTGAAATTACAAATAAGATATCCCAGCTACTTAGAGGGTATTCATTTCAGCCTTTCCCTATTTCGGGCTTTTCTTTTACTAACCATCATCTTATTTTATTATAACATTCATCTTATTTGGATTGAAATAAGTGAGATTAACAGTTTGCAGAGATGTTTGCGAGCACCCGAGGCACAAAGGGCGCACTGCTGCCGTGGGTGCAGGGGCTTGTCGAACTATACATCTTATTTTGTTATAACATTCATCTTATTTTATATAACATTAGGTTATAACAAATAACAGCACCTGTAGGGTAGCTGGGGCGGGGGCTGTAAGTACCTTTTACATTCATCTCATTTTATTATAACATTCATCTTATTTTATTATAACATTAATCTTTTTTGGATTGAAATAAATGAGATTAACAGTTTGCAGAGATGTTTGCGAGCACCCGAGGCATGAAGGGCGCACTGCTGCCGTGGGTGGAGGGGCTGGTGGAGTGGTGGGCATGGTTGACGCCCATCACCTACCTGACGGCGCGCTACGACACGATGTTCTACACGGCGCTCCTGCCGCACCTCGAGCTCCTGCCTCACATGATGTCCGCCTGCAGCGAGAGCTCGCAGCTCCTTGTGGGTGGTCAATAAATTCTGGCCTTTTTCATTTGCTGGAATTTAAATTATTTATATTCTGGCCCTTTTTCATTTGCTGAAATTCCAATTAATTAAATTCTGACCCTTTTTTTTACATGCTGAAATTTAAATTATTTAATTTCAAATAAGATATTCCAGCTACTTGTGGGTGGTCATTAGATTCTGGCCTTTTTCATTTGATGAAATTTAAATTATTTAATTTTAAATAAGATAGCCCAGCTACTCGGGGGTGGTCATTAGATTCTGGACTTTTTCATTTGCTGGAATTTAAATTATTTAATTTTAAATAAGATATCCCAGCTACTCGGGGGTATTCATTTTAGTCTTTTCTTAATTCAGGCCTTTCTTTCACTAGCTGAAATTCCAATTATGTCATTTCAATTATAACGTCAATGCTCCCATTAAGTCCTCATTTTTAGGCTTTGCCTAATTAAAGCTCGTCTTTCGCTCACTGAGACTTTTATTGTGTCATCTGATGATCTGTGGCGAGATATTTAAACTATGGTGGTGCAGTGGTGAGACTCAGTCTCTCGCACCCAGCGCCCGGGTTCTCTGTCTCTCGCACCCAGCGCCCGGGATCTCTGTTTCTCGCACCCAGCGCCCGGGTTCGAGTCCCACTGAGGACAAGTTCTTCCGGGAAGCTTAGCTCATGGTCAACTCATCCATTCATACAACTCTGGTTGATAAATGAGTACCTGGCTTGTCCAGGGTGTTGTGTAAAGCGATAAAATGGTTCTGGCGGGTCAGCGAACCAGTGATGGTCGTGGAACTACCAGTGGCACCAAGTGCCCGGAAAAACTGACGTATCACTCCCCCTCTAGTCGCCATTACCAGGATGGGCAATTACAACAACAGATATTTAAACTTTTGCATGCAATTCTTCTCTTTAAGAGCCCACGTATTGACGTCAGTTTAACACGTTGGAGGGCATCAGGCTCCTGAACTTCCCGAGTTATTGTGCACAAGCGCCCAACTGCGGCTCATCTGTCCCTCATTTGTTGCTGTCTCTCCCTTCTTTGTTGCTGTTGCTGTCTCCCTTCTTTGTTGCTGTTGCTGTCTGTCCCTTCTTTGTTGCTTTCTGTATCTTCTTTGTTGCTGTTGCTGTCTCTCCCTTCTTTGTTGCTGTTGCTGTCTGTCCCTTCTTTGTTGTTTTCTGTCCCTTCTTTGTTGCTGTTGCTGTCTCTTAATCCATGACCCTCAAGGCTTAAATGGTTTCGCGGCCATGACATCCCAGGGCACGATATCACGCGATACAGTAGAATGGATGATCTTTCATGTATTGCTTGATTGGTAAGCCGTAGTAAATTCTACATCAAGAGACCGACTGACTTTCTGATGCTTTTATTACCACTTAAGCAATACTTGGACTAGAGTTTAGTTAACATAGAAGAAGGTAAGTAGGCACTAGTACGACTATAGCCAGTCGTGCTAGTGCCGACGACCTGCCGGGTACTAGCCTTATGGCAGATTGTTGGCAGGTGGTACACTAACTTTTGTGCCGTGGCAGGTGGTACACTAACTTTTGTGCGGTGGCAGGTGGTACACTAACTTTTGTGCCGTGGCAGGTAACTACTGTACCGTGGCAGGTGGTACACTAACTTTTGTACCGTGGCAGGTGGTACACTAACTACTGTACCGTGGCAGGTGGTACACTAACTTTTGTGCCGTGGCAGGTGGTACACTAACTTTTGTGCCGTGGCAGCTGGTACACTAACTTTTGTGCCGTGGCAGGTGGTACACTAACTACTGTACCGTGGCAGGTGGTGCGACCGTCTGCTGCAGTGCAGGATCATCAGTGTGGCAGTTCATGGCTCGCTCCTCCGCAGGTTTGTCCTCTTCAAATATAAAAAAAAAATCCACCTGAAATTTTAAAATTTTCTTCACTATTCAATCATTGTTTACGACGTAAATTAGAACAATGTCAATAAGTACCTATATTACTATTAAAGCTCATCACCTCCTGAAGCATTTATAATATTTATTATTAATTTAATGTTAACTGCAGCTGTACGAGTTCGGTCGTCTCGCGCGCTTCAGGAGTCTGGCGGAGGTGGCGGCGCACGTCGCCAGCAGGACGGGCGCCGGGGCGCGCGTCGCGGCCGCCGTGCACACGTGGACGCCGCAGGTGTACAAGAGCCTCGACAGCTTCATCACCACGCTGCCTGGTACTTTTAGTGATGCTTCTTCTGCTTTTAAAGTGACTTTTTAGAGCATTTTCTCTTTTATGGAGAAAAGGCGCTATTGTGCTCGTCATGTCCGTCCGTCTGTGACCACGTTTTCGCCGACGAGATTGTTCTTCGATTTCGTATTGTTTTATTATTTCTGTCACTCACTGCTGTGAGTACTGAGTTATATTTTTTGTTAATACTTCTTCTGTTGTGTAATTATGCTAGCAAATTTTCATATTCAAAGATTTTTTGCATGTATTTTCTTCTAGGCAGCAACTAATCATTGCGTGTCGATGTTGTCTTGGCAGGGGACGAGTTGTACGACCGCAACTACACGCTGGACGCCGATGGATCAGCGCCGCTACTGCATTGTTCCAGCGCCGACCTGCGCAGCGCCTGCGCCGACGACCTGCCGAAACTCACGCGCTCGCCGGCCGACGCGCAGGCTGCGCTGCGCGACGCCCAACGCAGACCCAGCGTTCCCCTCAACAGAGTCGAGTCAAACAAGAGACTTCATTGCTCCTTCGTCACCAATACCAACACTGATCATGGTCAGGTCACGCCTGTGGACATCTGCGGCTCTTTGTCCTAAACAAACTATCCCAGAAGAGGTTTATACGACGTTTAGTATTTATACTAATGTCAATCGCCGGAGGGTTCTAGACATTATCCCTGAAGAGGTTTTATACGATGTTTTATACTAATGTCAATCGCCGGAGGGTTCTAGACATTATCACAGAAAATATGCGAGAATAAAATGAAAACTCGACTTAAGTACAAGTTATAAAGATAACAAGGTCGTGACCGAGCTCAAAACAAGAGAGCTTTGTTTTAATTTTAAAATGTTGAGATGAAGCCGACGTATAAATGATGTATATAGATAGGTATGTGACCCAGAGAAGAATTATTGCGCCTATAGTTTTGGTTGTGCCAAAAGGAATGTTGCAAAAGGAACGTGAAAATATTTTAGCAAAAAATTTAATAATCTATATTTTACTCTGTTTATTGTAATATTTTTCGTACATCATGTACATGTCACGATTACGCAAGCATTCGCAACTCGATAGAAAATTACGTGTATATTTCGTAATCTTAAGTCAGTAAGATAAAAACGCCTTTCGTTTGAGAGTGAATAAATGTGCAGGTAAATGAGCCTCAGGCGAGAACGTTATGATTGTAGTCTAGTAGCTTGAAGCTCAAACCTTGTGAGGACAACATGTTGTTATCACCTAGCAATATCCATACATCTATCTGGCCGTTGATCTTCCTGTTATCGTTATCATAATGTTTCATTGTTATTGGTTCATAATATTTATTGTTCATAAGATTTATGTTGTTCACTGTTATATTATTTCATAATATTTATGTGGGAAAGTTAAAGACGAGATCCTATCTAATATGTAAAATATGGGTTTCAGGTTTTTTATACAATTAGAATACAAAAGGTTTATTGTTATTTACGTGATTAGGGATGACGGGAATACCAGGATTGGGTTTCCAAAATTGCAGGAATTAACAAGTTTTGGTAATGCCGGGTTAAAATCTCAATTTTTTCCAATAATTGTCCGACAGGTTTTCTCTACCATGTCATTATAGTTCTTAGAGCATCGAATTTGCGTAGTAATTGTTGAACAAACAAATACGCTACGAAACCTGAAGAATACGGATAATCTTGAAATCGGATAGTAATTGGATGCAATCAATTGATAATATATATTTTTGTAATAAAATTTGTCTTAAGATATGATTTGGAATTCTTTAATTAGGTTTTATAATATCTATAATTCGACAACCCTCCTTTCTTTCCTTGACGGATTACATCCGTTATGTGCGCTGCGGTCTAACTGTGTCAGACAACACTGGTCTCGTAACTCAGAGAAGAAAATAAATTATAGCGTGAAAAAGTTAACGTTAACGTAGGTGGCGGGGTGCAAGTAATCGAGGCAATAACGGAAAGCAAGAAAATGCGCATCTATGAATAAGCTCGCTGAGCCGCCATTAGCGACATTCAATTTAACTATCTACCGCCGTATGACACTCTACGAGAACATAAATTTTAACTTACATGGAGTGTAGCTAGCAACCTGAGGACGTTTGTACGCAACAGAGAACATTTTAAAGTTGTCGTACGTGGCGGCAAATTATACGTAAACTATTGAGTGTAGCAACCTGAGGACGTTTGTACGCAACAGAGAACATTTTAAAGTTGTCGTACATTGCGACAACCATCAGAGCAAGTCATTTTGCCCTCACTAGCAACGTATCCTTTTCTGAAGTAGGTGCGTGACAATATTGCTCCGGTTACTCATGTCCGGCGGTAGAGGGTTAATAGGCAGGAAACGGAAATGCCCATGAAATTTATGTCAGAAACTATCAGGGCAGAGTATCGAGACGAGAGTTCGTAGCCTATTCGTAGCCTAAAACGAAGATAACGTCCACAACGATACGACACAACGAATATGCGGACGCGCCTTATCTTTAACCGGCATCACGGAGACGACGCCACGCTAAAGAATGCCGACTCGTCCTGAAACGAGCAGTTTTTAAAAATTCCTTTTCCCAAACGAAGGTCGAACTAAATGGTCGGTGGGTCTCCAGGATTCCGCGAGTCACAGCGCAGTAATGCTATAAGGTATATTTGAGCCCCGCTGTTGTTGTACATGGATTAGAAAGCTATAGATCATCCCAAGCCCTGATCATCTTTTCCTCCGTGCCTTGTGAGCCTGAAGAATGAGAGAGAAAAAGCATCAACAAATTCCAATGGCATTGATAAACAATCTTGGTTTCGGAATCTTTCGAGACTGCAAAGAAATTGGATTCTGGTGACATGAAAAATCGCTCGACCACACAAGATCTGTTCAATATTATGTTGAACAAGTTCACGTCAGAAACCGCTGCTCTCTTTTACCATTTACGCTTTGACCTGCCGTTAACACAACTAAATACGAAATTAATTGATTATTTTTACAAGAAATTGAACATAGAAGTGGAAGTTCAGAGTTTCATTTCAGCATATAAGATTATTCAGATTTAGTTACGCGAGACTCGTAGACAGTTAAGAACCTGTTAAGAACGGTACGTGTGTTAGTCTGTTAAGAACGCGCGGTACGTTACAGCACGTGTACGTTCGACACTGCAGTTTCGAGGCTTCGAAATTTCAATTTAATATAAGTAGCGTAAAGTACGTAAATGAAGTGAAAGCATGGCACCAAATATTTCTTCTCGTCAGGTAGCACGGCTCGCACGTCGCCTGCATAAGTTATCAGCTCTGACAAGGACTAGTTAGGCGTTAATAAATTAGTCAAAGCAAATTTTCTAGCAGTCGGAACACAGAAATTCCTTAGCGGAACTCGTGTCTAAATTATTTCGAGCATAAGCTCTGATGAAACACTCAATAAAAAATACGCGCAACCATGAGCTGTAAGTTTCCTCATAGACTGGACAGATCGAAGATGAGTTAAATTTCTTATGAATAGAACGCTCTCAATGAATATGAAGATGAAGAATAAACTGAGAATTACGAACAATAGAATGTCATCTTGACATTATTCATAATATCTTCTATAGGCCTCGAATTGCATAGTTCTTAGAACCAACGAAATTTATCACAGTAAGAACTAGAGAGAAGCGAATAGAAGCTACGGGAAAATAACGTCCTGTGTCAGCAGACGTTATTCCTGGCGAGCTGCTGCCTCTTCTGCACTACGGGCGCCGCAAGATCGGCCAAGGCCCCGATGATGGAAGCTTCTCCTCTGCGCCCCTGCATCTCACACTTGGCACAGCATCGCTGTACGATGTAGCACTCGCTGTGCATCACTGCAAAGCATGCACTGCACTGCACAGCTCGCTGCTCGAACGGGTACAGGATGTCGTCCTTGTCTTTGCAGTTGAGGCAAATGTGACCGCGTCCTTGACAAGCCTGCACAGAGACAAAGAAATAATAAACAATCATCGCAATGATAGATGATGTAGAGATGCTACAATTCAAGCAATTGACGTAACAATTTTTCATCATGGACTCATGGAGTAACAGAAATCACGCATAAGGAAATCCAACCTACAATTGTGAATATAATGAAATGTCATAAAGAAACATCCGTCATCCTCTCCTCAGACTGATAAGCTTAACAGGGAACCGGCGAGCCAGCTTCCTTCATAATATTAGACTATAATATTTCTACATCAAAGCACGCGGAAAGTTCTGCGTCCGAGGAACGTTCTGAGGAAAATATTAAAAAAAATGTAAGGCTTCGGGTCCCCCTTTCGGAGGACGGGGAAAGATTTGCTGTCGATTTGGGCCCGTATCCGGGCCGCGCTCCAACCGCAAGCAGGCCGACAGCATTTTTTGCCCACATCCGTGTCGGTGGGGACCTTTGGACAGACCCCGCAGACGCCGCGACGCGGGGCTGCCTTCCCGCTGGGGCGACCGACTTGGCTGGCCCCAAAACTAGGTCTAGGCACTACCTCGCGCCGTGATCGAGGCGGGGAGGGTCAACAACAACAACCTTTGGACAGACCCCGTGAACGCCGCGAGGCTGCTGGCCCGCTGGGGCGACCGACTTGGCTGGCCCCAGAACTGGGTCTAGGTCCCTACCTCGCGTCGTGATCGAGGCGGGGAGGGTCAACAGCAACAGTAAAAATTGTATAAATATTTCCGCGGCCACGGATGACGATGTCTAACCTGACACTGTGTGCGTATGTGAAGGTCGAACTCGTTATGAACGGCCTGCAGCTGAGGGAGCAGCAGGCCAGCGTGCAGGTCGCAGAGGTCCTGCAGGCTGTAGAGGTGAGGGCAGTCCACGAAGTGCTGACGGGACGCAAGCTTGTGCAGGAGACGGTCCTGTACGGCGGTCCTGCAGGAGCACAAATACTGCTTCATCAGCAGCAGATCCTCCCGCAGCTTCTGCAATATAAGAATTACATATCAGTTGAATTAATCTTCATACTAGTGACTTGAAAAATATAGCTCAGTACTCACTGCAGTGAGTGACAGGGAGCGCATTTTCTCGTCGACGAAAACGTGAAGTCACGGACAGACAAACGGACGGACATGACGAGCACAATAGCGCCTTTTTTCCATAAACGAGAAAATGCGCTAAAGAGAGTTCATGTTCCAAGACCTCTGAGAGGTTGGAACGCCACTCGACTGGGCAGCGAATAGTGTATTTGATCTCTTATATCTGCCCCAGGAGCATCAGGTTATTCTCAGGCTTCGTGGAAAACTGACCGGGAACTTCGAAAAAATACTTCAAAAAGAAGGAAATTGATAATCAATTATTCGATTAAATTTCATTATCTTGATGAAGTATAAGCCCGAAGTTGCGTAAAATAAAATTTTCACTTTCGTAGTAAATTATATCCCATGAAAAATTCGTATACGATGCACGAAAATTGAATCCGACCAAATTGTTTCCACCCACGTTCTATTTAAGTCCAGTGACACTGAATGATGCTCAAAGATAGAAAGTTTAACTACATACAACTTCCCTATATCGCTGTTCTCTCTCATTTATTATCGGGCTCTGAAGAACAGGGCCTATACTTTCAAAAGAGGTAAGAGATCGTAAGTTCATCAGCCAATCATTGACGGGCTTTCAAGCAAAATCCACCAATCATAGACAAGAAAATCGAGCGTAAGTACTTACGTTCACTTAGCGAGTTTTGAAAGTATGGCCCAAGTCACGTTAGGTTGCGGTGACTTCGCCTTGCCTCAGGCAGGGAGCTTCTAAGTTCCAACATCAGGAGTCTTCAAACAAATTATAAAGAAAACCTCACCTGTTAATTGGAATAGTGAATTATTATAAATAAATATAAATAAATAAACCTCACCTTGACCTCGCAGAGCTCCTGCAGCAGCGTGAACAGCTGTGGGTTGAGCTGCCGTAGATCCAGCAGCGGCTTACGGCAGCAGAACTGCAGCAGCTGTAAGGCGCATCTGTAAAATGAAACACTTGTCACTCGACTATCCGTATAGGCACTTGTGTTTAATCAAACATTCAAGTCTACATATTGAATTTTGTGCCTTTTCGCGTTGAACCAGGAACCAAAACTTATTTCCGTCCTCGTGCAGACATAAAACCATTTCTAAGTACTAATTAGCCGTTCCAAATGCCATTAAAGTTCACATATTTACGCTTACTATAGAATTTCAATAATTATCCAAAGAAATCGGTGCAGCGCGACCAGTTCTCATTAAAGTTAGCGAGTGGCTAACGTCAGAANACAAGATAAACAAACCTCGAAACATCCCTAACCAAATGAATTACTAACATTGCGCAAGAAATGTTCGTTATTCATTACGAGCATTTAATCTATTATTAACATTAACATTTATTAATTTAACAAATATTCGTAAACAAATAACTCGGAGGCGAGAAATAGTAAATACTCATCAAGAATAGCCACTAACGTAAGTAAAGTTTGATAAAGAAAAATTGTTAGCTTTAGTTACTAGTTCGCGCCATGCACGGTCATCACTAACTTGGCTGTAATTAATTAGTCAGCTGACGAAACTCAAGGAACAACGAAAGAATAAATTACAGGAAAGACGCCCGACGTCTCGAAATAAAGTCTCCAGCGCTGTGGTCTGAGCCAATAAACGGACTGATGGCGGCCGTTGCGGACGTGTTAGGAAGCAAAAAAAAAAGAAAAAGACCACAGATTTCAATAACGAATCAAATGGAACATGCGACGCTGGATTCAGATGCAGAAGCATACATCGCACAACCCACGGCTAATGACAATGATTAAAGAAAAATACTTAATTGAACACGACAAAGCCGGTTACAATTGTAAGTCATTCACAGGAGCACGTAAAATTATTCACAGACGCGAGTAAAATTTGATACCACCAGCACTTTGGCTTCGCAAGGCTCCCACGAGAAGCTCTGAGACCTCGCAAAACTGTAATTCTCTTCCAGCTACACTGTTAGAAAAAACGGTGAAAAAAAGGTCCCACCGGCGTTCTAGTGGCCGGTCGCCCCGTGAAAATAAACGGTTTCTCCGTTATTATCAGATGTTTTACGGTTTTCTAGTGTAAAATTAGAATAAAAAAGGCGACGCGATGTTTCTTTTCACGTTCCGACCGGCCACTGAAACGCCGGTAATACCGTTAACGGTAATTTTTCTAACAGTGTATCGGGAACAGTGAATAACACCGTGTGACGTACCACTACAATATTTATATAGGTAACACCAATAAGTACCAAGAGCAGAGCTGAGCTGGTAGAAAGATCTTCCGAGACTGGATCGCACATCGTAACGTATCAAGCTCGCGCAGGATTGATAATTCTCCCATAATATGCATTCATGAATTCTTCGAATATTTCTGTCTAGAATTCTAGGCGCTGCTTTGAAAGGAAAGGCAGCCAGAAAAAGATATTGTGTCTCTGATTGTTGGTTTTGGCTGCGACAACGCGGCACACTTACAGCAGGATCAAGCTTGGGTATTGAGACGCCGAACACACGCACTTAACTTGAAGAACTTTAATTTAAAAGGACACTAAAGAGAAAGCCTCATGCAACAGTTAGATTACGCAATAAGCATCGTAATAATCCGGCAGACAAAGACATTTACTGAATAAATTTTAAACGATTAGATTCGTCATGCAGATGAAAGATGCAATTAATATACTTGGGAAATGATGCCTAACATTGAACTGAAAAGCAATCCTTGAGATTAGTGCCACTGATGATGAACCCCGTATGATTAAATAGACTCGGGAATATCTAATTAAACGTAATAATAAAGACGTAGTTTTAATTGGGGCCGAGGAATACAAATAAAATCGCGCATGGAGAGAAGAGGTGTGTGCCTCAACCTGAGGGATCCCTTCAGATGCCAATAAAAATAAATTAATTCCACAGCTTTTAAAACATTTAATACTTCAGATATGGACGTGAATTTGATGTAACTCCTTAACACGAAGCTGGATTTATAATAAAAGTATCAGGTCCCAAATTATAAAAATTACAACCGACAGTATAACAACTCAATGAAGTTTATGAGCAGAACAGAATTGATCACCAGATGAGAGTCTACGAAGAATAGAATTTTTTCTGATGGTACAGAAAAATAAATTAGAAGGATCATGAAGATTCAGATGAAACAATACAAACAAATTAAAACTAACAATGAATTCAACACAAAATAACTGTCGGTCATATTTTTAAAATGTGTTATTGGGCTTACATTGCCATTCGGCGGCCATTTTTTTAAATCTTAAATTTGACACCCTTCCACTACTTGCATTTTAGAGGATTTTTTGTATGTTGATTCTATTGCCCTTCGGGAGCATTGGTGAAAAAATCATTTCTTTTGCTATTTGTTCCGGGTCAAACCCTATTTTTCCTGGACTATTATGAGAAGGGTTGGCCGATCTGAGTCATACCGAGATCGGAATATGGGGCCATGCTTTCAAAACTCGCTAAGTGAACTTAAGTACTTGCGCTCTATTTTCTTGTCTATGATTGGTGGATTTGGCTTGAAAGGCCGTCAATGATTGGCGGATGAACTTACGATCTCTTAACTTTTTTTGAAAGTATGGGCCCTGGCGTCGCGAGTTGCAGTGCAAAAAACCTCCGCTTTAACACCATCGAGTGAAGAATATGGCGAGTGGTGTCCCTTTATTCCATTGTATACCCTTACTGATAAGATCTATCCAGGCAAAAGAGTGTAACAATATAGCAGCACAGTGTAGTACAGTCGGCGACATCTCTTAGCTATTGTATTATGCAAACTGTATATACCATATATTGGCTATTGCATGAACAACGCGTGTAAGTAGCGGGTGAGTGACGAAGGAAAGCTTCATTTCACCAGACGGCATTTGTGATGAAGCGAACAAAAAAAGAACCAAAGAGTAGTTCTGGAAGAAAAAGTTTCTGATTGTGTGGGGTTGTGGTGGCAGTGCATGAACAAAAATCTCGACTGAGTGAAGATCAAAAGTTCAAAATCGAAAGTGAAGATCAAAATCAAAAGTGAGTGCAGATCAAAAAGTGAGGATGGTGCAGCCAGGCAGCGAGTTACCAAAGCAAGCACCCGGCAGCCAAGAAACCATTATTAAGTGAATATTATTGACCACGATTACTGATGCGGTATAAAGCCATAGCGATAATATTTATCAGATTCTACTAGAAACACGACCACGTCAACGGGAAGGAACACGTATAAAATTGAATTTATTATATAGAAAGTTGCGCAAACTAGACGAGGTCGGGGCNGCATTGAAAATACGACAGAATTTCAATGCCAACATAACAGACAGCCTCCACAAATGCGAGAAGTAAATAATTTAGAACAATTCCCTCGATGTTTTTTAGGATTTACACATTTTGAGGGCCTCGGAATACTGTTTCATGAAAAAATGAAGGCCTCTTTTTCAAGTGCACGAGATAGAATGAAATGTCCTTACATTAGCCGTCGCTCACAGAAATTGTGATCGGTTCTAGGAATAAATTTAAATATTAACCCATTTAAACATCTAACTAATTCTACCTTTAAAATAACAGAATATTACATCGTGAATATAAATTTTCAAAACTACCACTCAATTCGATCGGCTGTTATGCAAAGATCTATAGAAATTTCACTAACCCGAAGGCCCAGCCTGAGGAAAAATTAAACAAAAATCTAAGCATAGCAGAACTCTGCGGAAGGCTCAGCCTGCGTAAAAATTCAACAAAAATCTTAGCATAGCTGCACTGTTAGAAAAAACGGTGAAAAAACGGTCCCACTGGTGTTCTAGTGGCCGGTCGCCCCGTGAAAATAAACTGTTTCGCCGTTTATATCAGACGTATTACGGATTTCTAGTGTTAAATTAGAATAAAAACGGTGACATAATGCTTCTTTTCACGTGCCGACCGGCCACTGAAACGCCGGTAATACCGTTAACGGTAATTTTTCTAACAGTGTGAACTCTGAGTCAGTTACTCACGGTAGGTGATAAGCTGACCACATTCAGCGCATCGGAAGTTCTGGGCGCTGAGTCCCGCCTCGGGGCAGATGCTGGTGACGAGGACGGACATGCGCCCGATGACCACGCGACTCGCAGGACTTTTGCCCTCACGTCTCACGTCGCCTTCGTCAGCAGCTTTGATGGCGAGCTCCTGCAGGACGTGTAAGGGGGACTTGTGGGCCGCAGGTCCACTCTGAATGAAAGACTTTGGGGACCGAACCGATGACTCGAGTGATCCTGAGTCGCTGGACCGATCCGACTTCGAGGAATTAACTCTACAAGATTCACTGCCGGGATCCGACTTGGAGGAGTGAGTCTGGAAGGATTCTCTGGAGACTGTGGAAGGCGAGGCGGGAGGACTTGCAGTGTTTCGAGGACCTAGAGATGAGGATGCAGGATACGAAGGCAGGGAGCGTATGGTGCTCGTAGGAGGCGTTGCGGAGAAGTAGGAGGCGGGACAGTAGCGGCGGATGCCGCGTAAACACGAGCTGTAAACGCGCAGGTTGCAAGCTGGAACAAAGACGCTGGTAAATACGACGCTGGGCTAGAGCTTTATACAGGTTTATTAACATTTTAAATTTATGACTCGGGAAAAGCTTTTCTCATGTTTATGAAAATTTATAATTTATGACTCGGTACTGCTTGCCTGCTTGTGCAGGCAATCTGTTAATTGATGAACGGTTCGGGAATTAAGCGGAAAAATATAACTCAGTACTCACTGCAGTGAGTGACAGAGAGCGCATTTTCTCATCGACGAAAACGTGAAGTCACGGACGGACAGACAGACAGACGGACATGGCGAGCACAATAGTGCATTTTTCCATAAGGGAGAAAATGCGCCAAAAAGAGTGTAGCTGCACTAGGTGCCACTTCGCTGACCATTATTGTGCATGCGATTGTGCGTTAGCCACTCGTACTCTGCCTGTCACGCAATAAACTATTTAGGCACACTGTTAGACGGGAGAGAGGAAATGGACCGTGGAGTGCAGGAGCGAATGCAATTGTTTAATGCTACTGCGCTGGCATCAATCCACGAAAATTTACGACACAAAGAAAGATTGTCTCCACTAAGGCCTGTGATTTAAACTTTAGAGCCTCAGTTCCTAGGCGGAGAGAAGTGCAAGAACAACAAACAAATCAAGTACTATGCCGTGAACCCTGAACCAAACGCAATCGAATACAATGCCGTGTAGGTACCTGGTACCCTGAACCAAACCAATCAAATAAAATGTCGTGTTGTACCCTGAACCAAACAAATCAAATACAATGCCGTGTAGGTACCTGGTACCCTGAACCAAACTAATCAAATAAAATGTCGTGTTGTAATCTGAACCAAACAAATCGAATAAAATTTTATGTACTCTGAACCAAGCAAATCAAATACAATGCCATGTACCCTGAAGCAAACAAATCAAATAAAATGCCATATACCCTGAACAAAACAAATCAAATACAATGCCCAAAATGCATTAACATAACCTCACAGGATGGGTCTTAAGACGTGGCGTTGTCGTGGGTAAAGGTACTCGCCAATTTCAACGTAAACTTGCCCGCAAGATGATCGGGAATTATGAAATTTATGGCGTTGTCGTGAGTAAAGGTACCCGCCAATTTCAAAGTAAATTTGTCCGCAAGATGATCGGGAATTATGAAATTTATGGCGTTGTCGTGGGTAAAGGTACTAGCTAATTTCAACGTAAAATTACCTTCGCAAGATGATCGGGAATGATGAAATTTAAAACTCACATCGTAAGTTTTAAATTTAGTGTGGCTAGAAAGAAACGTTTACAAAGCAGACAGTATAGAAAGTAAATTACATTACGCTTAAGATTTCTGAGGAGCAATAAGGTTACTCGCAAGATAAAAACCAAATCCCACAAGAAAGGATCTTCGGCAACGACGATTTCAGACCTGAATCTTGCCCTGCCTCGACAGCAGCTTCAGACATCTTGGAGTGGAGAAGCTAACATATAAAAATTAATGTTATTCAAAGTAAATGTGTACCTAATGTATCTAATTCCAGAACTTAAAGGGATTCAAACTCGAAATTTAAGGCCCCCCTGAAGTGCCACCAGCATTCGGCACACTAGGGCGCCCTCAGTAACCCAGACTTCGGTCCCTGAGCACCTGCGAGTGCTCCCTGAGCGCAATGAGCGTGTGCACGAGCGCCCTCCTGCGGCCACTGCCAGGGAGCGCGTCTAGGACGAGGTGTCGCAGCCTGGCCTCCAGCGCCGCCACCCGCGCCACCATCTCCTCCTGGGGACGTGGGTGTTACAGTATTATACTCCATTATAATCATCAATTTTTATCCATTTTCTAATATATCTTCACTAAATATCTAAACTAAATTAGACTTGTACACTACAATATCCACAGAGACAAAATATTCTTGTCACTCATTGTTGCATGGCAACAGCAAGGTTCATTTTCGATGTCACGGACATTGAGCATACGCAACCAGCGCCACTCCACGCCCCACCCAACCCACTGGGACGCCCCACCACACCACCCTGCACGTATCGTCTTGGACCCGAGGGCGGGGTGACCTGCCTAGCGACGACTCGGAGACGGAGGACGACGAAAGCGGCACATCAGCGTGACATTAGACAAGGAAGCCCCGATCATAAAGTCATAAGCTCCCTGCACCCACCTTATTGCCGTGGAGCAGGTCCTCGGTGATGCAGAGCTCCCTGCAGATGCTGGTGCGCTCCTCCTCCAGCTCTGCGGCGTCCCCTGACACTTCCTCAGGCACGCTGCACCTGCCGGGGGGAGATGGTGTCAAAACCTGCTCTGTATTTTGATAAATAATTCCCTTTGTTGAAGATAGTGAATAAGTGCACAGCTCAAAGTGAAGAAACGATACAGGAACCTAACAAAATGCTGGACCTTCCTTCATGAAGATGAAAACAACGAAAACATGAAGATGAACAAAGCCCAGGGCTTGATAATCTTGATAAGGCTATTCTCGTCGTCAAGGATTTGGATGACAGTGGAACAAAAGTACCGCACATTTGTCACTCAGTTGGGCAAGCTTACGCACGATGCTGTTGCTTACTTCTTGCTGATAGTATAGGAACAAAGGCGGATAATCTGGGAATGTTCTCATGAACACGTCCAGTCGGCTCTTGAAGGTCCCAATTAAGGGTGAACTCTTCTCATCGTAGTTTTTTTGTTAAGCCGTTCAACAGCCTATCACGAAAAAATATCGATTGTTCCCGCACAGATTGAAAACTTTACCGCAGCACTGTTGCAAAATGGGGTTGGTATTTTGCAAAGTCGCCTTATTCTCTCGTTGCGGTATTTAACAAGTCTAAAGATCTCGCATTCAAAGCTCGTTGCCAGTCCGGTTATTATTTTCCATGTGAACAGAAGAACATACCTATCAATCATACCTACTCTACTCTGCGGGGAGTACAGATCCAGGCATGGAGGGGTTCCACAGCTGGCAGCAGTACTCGAGGGATCACAAGGAACACCACACACTGAGCCACACACCTCCCTGCTTCCCTCTTCCCCATACCTCCACAAGGGTCACCACACACTGAGCCCCATACCTCCATGCATCCCTCTTCCCCATACCTCCCTGCTTCCATCTTTCACATACCTCCCTGCTTCCCTCTTCCCCATACCTCCCTGCTTCCCTCTTCCCCATACCTACATGATTCCCTCTTCCCCATACCTCCCTGCTTCCCTCACCCGGCAGCCAAGAAACCATTATTAAGTGAATATTATTGACCACGATTACTGATGCGGTATAAAGCCATAGCGATAATATTTATCAGATTCTACTAGAAACACGACCACGTCAACGGGAAGGAACACGTATAAAATTGAATTTATTATATAGAAAGTTGCGCAAACTAGACGAGGTCGGGGCATGGACACCAAAGCCATGCAAACAAAGCAAATTGCGAAAATTAAAATTATTGATGAAAGAAAGCTCATAACAAAAATTAGCACAAGCAATGAACGTAATGGAAGAAAACTCATAACAAGAACGGGGGAAAAGGGTTCCAAAAAAACTAAGAGAAGAAAAAACTGATTTGAAGATAACAAGTTTGATTAGAATGAGTTGAAATAGTTTGTGATTAGGTTATTAGGTTGAAGACAATTTATTTAATTCAAATTTTTTATTTAAATTATTTAATTTAATTTTAAGTTGAAAACTGGTTGGGGCTCTGATGGTTATTCAGTTAGTATGTGCCTACGTTTGCGCTTTCGTAAAAACAATAAATTCATGAATTTTTGGCATGTTATATTGTTTTGGAACGTTTTAAATTTTTTCCCTTACAAGGAGCATGCAAACCCAAGAAAATGTGTCAGGGGAAAGTTGAAGCTACAGGCGGGAACTAAAGCGCTTCAGCCAACCTGATATCATTATGTCCATTTCAGCGGCCGAGAGCACCCGACCTGAAACAATGAACTTTGAATTAAATAAAAAAAAAAAGAGGTATTGATGCACTGTGGCATAAATAATAATAAGAAATGAAGCGTGAGCAAACAACATAGAAAAAAATACATAATCACACGACGTTAATGTTTTAACAATTCAACTAACTGAACAGTAGAGCACCGAAAGAAAAATGTGAGTGCACCAAGAACTATGGAAAACGCATCAAAACACTACGTGGTACCACAATAAACCAAATACATGATAAAAGGAAAGAGATAGTAAGTTTCCTTGGCTCAGGGGTTCTTCCTCGAATTCAACGAGAAAACTGACACGTCACCGCACGCATAACCCACACGAAAAAGTCTCATCGCAAAATAATACGAATAAAAAATTAATTTTTACGATTCCGCCCTAAATTGAAGTACCTAATTTTGCACACGCAAGTCAAGTGAGATTCAGTTGAGGTGTAATGTGACAGGAAACCTGGGACCATACTCTCAAAACTCGCTAAGTTAACGCAAGTACTTGCGCTCTATTTTCTTGTCTATGGTTGGTGGATTTTGCTTGAAAGGCCGTCAATGATTGGCTGATGAACTTACGATCTCTTAACTTTTTTTGAAAGTATGGGCCCTGATCACGTAACGCATCAGCCTCACAGCTTAGACCTGCATAGACTTAGCAGTTAATGAGACTCAGTCCAAATAGCGAGTGTATTTAGTGCCCATGCCCAAACTGGGTCACGATGACTCGCATCAAAATCGTGAAAATACGGTATACGCCGAGCGATAGAACTTCAATGCCAATATAATAGACAGCCTCCACAAACGCAGGGAAGTAAATAATTTAGAACAATTCCCTCGATGTTTTTTAGGATTTACACATTTTGAGGGCCTCGGAATACTGTTTCATGAAAAAATGAAGGCCTCTTTTTCAAGTGCACGAGATAGAATGAAATGTNTTAAAGGTCCGTATGCAAGCTTAAAATCTCAGTTCCGCAGGGGAGAAGTGCAAGAACAACAAGCAAATCAAGTAAAATGCCGTGTACGCTGAACCATACAAATCTAATAAAATGCCGTGTACAATGAACCAAACAAATCTAATAAAATGCCGTGTACGCTGAACCATACAAATCTAATAAAATGCCGTGTACAATGAACCAAACAAATCTAATAAAATGCCGTGTACAATGAACCAAACAAATCTAATACAATGCCGTGTAGGTACCTGGTACCCTGAACCAAACTAATCAAATACAATGTCGTGTTGTACCATGATTCCTGAACCAAACCAATCAAATACAATGCCATATACCCTGAACCAAACAAATCAAATAAATAAATAAATCAAATAAACCAAGCAAATCCGTGAGAATAATGACCTGTGCAGACATAGGCGGAGCTGAAGAGATGCCACATGGTGGAGGTGCACACGTCGCACTGAGCGCGAGAACCTGACGCAGGAGCCAACACGTGGCCACACGCAGTCACGCCCCCCATCTGCCCTGCTATTTCTGACAGCTCCTTCACGCTCTGCAATGTTAAGGATGCATTAACATAACCTCACAGGATGGATATTAAGACGTGGCGTTGTCGTGGGTAAAGGTACTCGCCAATTTCAACGTAAATTTGCCCGCAAGATGATCGGGAATTATGAAATTTATGGCGTTGTCGTGGGTAAAGGTACTCGCCAATTTCAACGTAAATTTGTCCGCAAGATGATCGGGAATTATGAAATTTATGGCGTTGTCGTGGGTAAAGGTGCTCGCTAATTTCAACGTAAATTCACCTTCGCAAGATGATCGGGAATTGTGAAATTTATGGCGTTGTCGTGGGTAAAGGTACTAGCTAATTTCAACGTAAATTCACCTTCGCAAGATGATCGGGAATGATGAAATTTAAAACTCACATCGTCTGTCTAAAATTTCGTGGGACTAGAAAGAAATGTTTACAAAGCAGACAGTATTGAAACTAAAGGACATTACGCTCAAGATTTCTGAGGAGCAATAAGGTAACTGGCAGGATAAAATCGAAATGCCACAAAAAAAGGATCTTTGGCAACGACGATTTCAGACCTGAAACTTTCGCTGCCTCGACAGCAGCTTCAGACATCTTGTAGCAGCCGATATATAAAAATTAATGATATTCATAGTAAATGTGTACATAATGTATATAATTCCAG